TCATCTGTCAAGAACAGAATTTATGTATTTGGTAAATCTCAATATTTGTCCTATTTTCCTATGAATTACAATTCGTCGACATCAACCAAAAGTATCAAATTAAGCTGTCTAATATCCGATTCCGTGTACTGGTATAATGAAAAAAATATTTATCATTTAATTAAACAATGCCCTGTACACAAATGTGAAATATCGTTTGATATATATCTGAATGTTAGATAAATTATCGTGTGGAGATCACGTTTCTGGTTTTGAAAAGTTGGTTTCGTAATAATTTTACTAGTTGGCGTTCCGAAGAACCATCCAAAATGAGTTTTACCTAGAACTTAAGCTTATTAAATAATTAACAACAATAGACCAATTATTTATTCTCTTATCCTAAATCAACACACAAAAGTAAGCCATTTACTTTTTCCGTGCTGAATTGTCGCAACCCTTACTACCAGGCGAAATGTACCCGTGTCTTGGGTTAAACCAGCCACTTGTGCCTGTTCGTCTTGTTCGGCGGCTTCTTCATTGACTCTGATTTCGTGCGTGTGACAGTCTTTCGTGAGACCCCCAGTTGTGGTGGTGAAGGCCGCGGTTGCCACAAGATTAGAGGAAGTAGGCGAGCCAGCTTGAAGACTCTTGTTCTTCTTAATAGGCTTCTCAGACGTTTTTCCCCGTTGATATGGTCCTAGTCGACTAACCGAAGGCTTTACTGCTCTGCCGTCTGGATCGGCCTTTTTGGAGCGAATCGATTTCATGGCGGCATCTGGAACCTTTCCAGGATAGTCCGAAGGGCATTTTACAAGTTGACATGAGTGCCGATGCTCCAGACATCGCAGCAATCGACACCGAATAACGTTAGCAAGAAGGCAGGTCATCTTCATCTTACCGGAGAAGAGAGGAGTAAATTTGCAGATTAATACACACAAAGAGCAAACTCAGAATTGACATGTTTACTCATCACACAGTGGACAAGCGTGGAAGTTGCCTAGATATTTTCGCACTAGAAAATTCTAGGTAAGAATGAATGGATTATTACTTTATACATTTGTTTACCCAACGCAGGTTGTGGATCTCGAACCTCTGATATGCTGTCAATAATTTGAAGAGTTATTTCTTCAATTGGATGGTTACACAAATAAGTTGTCAACCTTCCTGACACCTTCATATTCTGAACTTAGTTAAAGATGGATTTTGGTCCTACATTTCATTGTTACCCAAGAAATTCAACTTGTCCCCATTACTAGCCACTATGGGCAAAATCGACTACCTTCTAGTGCACGATTTTGTCCTGGTCTTCTTAATATTATCCTCGCTCTTTTTCTTATATTAGTTACTCAACAGCAAGATTGCATACACTTTATTATTGTCTTTATTTCTTGAACGAAGAAATTTATATGGATAGTGTATTCTATTCAGTCATGTGCTATACTAATCGGTCTGCCCAGAGTTGATTATAGATAAGTGTATTTAAATAGCGTCCCGAAATTACCTATAAATCTTGAGTAAGAACTGTATTCACCCTATTGTTTTTAAGGTCAAAACAACAATCCACTTTGGATGAGAATTCCTATTGGGAGGATGGCTAGGTAAAATCCAATAAAACATTAGGCCTATTCATATAATTGTGGTTTAATTCCACTGCCAATCCCTTATCACCTTAAACGAAATAGAATGAACACAAGAGTGTTATATAAAATAAGTAATTCTTGTGTGGCCGAATAGCCACTGTCTTCATTACTGAGCTTGTAAATATCTTTTTTCTCATATTAAATTCAGATATGGGGCCTACATTTCTATAATTTTGATTGGTTAAATATTTTTCATCCAGCATTCACATAGGGATATGCTTATTGATGATGGTTGTCAGATTTCTTTGGCCCCTTCTTGTGTAGTCTTGACCAGACCTGGATTGGCAAACCCTATTTAAATGAGCGAGCTTGGAAGTCTGGATTTGGGCCTAGTTGAGTTGAAGCTTAGTGAGGCTGGTTAACAATAGAAAATGCATTCATCATATGATGCTTGTGTTGATGTAGGTACTGTCCTTTGAATTTCACACATTGAAATTTATTGGTTTTTCCAGTAAAGTCAATGAAGTACGACATTTTTCGGTGAGCTCCATCCTCAAAACTATTCATCATACTCTCTTCC